CACACACACACACACACACACACACACACACACACACAGAACAATATACATTATTACAATAGAACATTATTACAATAATATTCTAGGACAAAATGTTATTTCTTCCTTTAACTGGAGTGGCCTGTTTTGCCATATCTAATTAAACTAGTAATTTGTCACACCGTGTAACTAAAATCGGATGTGTCTTTAATGGAATTCTCTTTCTTGGCATGTCATATGGATTGATGATAAATTTGTACAAACCTGTCATAATGCCAGTCATGTGTCCAGTAGGTATATGAAGTAGCACTTCTTCAAGAACAAAGTGTTGAGATCCACAGCCAACAAACACAAAAGAAGCAACACACAGTACAAATTATGGCAATCCCCTATGACTTTTATACATGTAGTTTGCTCCATGTTTTCTTCACCCCCCCCCCCATCCTCACAATTATGAAGGAGGAACCCTAGCTTCAATCTTGTACTGTACTGCAAATATTTTGTAGAGTAGGACCACCTTAGAGTTGTGTTTAATAAATTGCTAATTATTTAATGTATTCACTTTTATTTGAACAGCTTTTGCCTTTACACTGTTCACACTAGGCACTAGCAAGAGCTGTTATTTAATTGGCCATTATAGTCTGCTTTTCCTTTCTTTGGGCTCAAAAGGATGAGGGGAAACAAGAGGCCTCCTCCTTAGTAGTATGATTCCATGGGAGCCAAGGAATAAGAGTGTACATATTTACATATCCAAATCCAAAACTGCAGTGTGTGACAGAAACTCTTGGACTCATTTCTTATCCTCAATAGCCATCATCATTTGTGCCCAATGAAAATGAAGAAATAACACAGAATAATATATGGCAGGATTACACTAAAAATGCAATAATATAGCAATGCCATGTAAAAGTTATAGCAAAATTTCGATTAGTGAGGTCCAGGAAGAGACCCTTCTCTATCATCACTCCTACCCTTTGAATATTCTCCCCCCCCTCCCCAAGGTGAGGCGGGTCCCATTCTCCTGACCTTTGGGAAGTATCTGAAGACCTGTCTCCACTGACTTGCTTGAGGTTCACAAAGAAGCATGCAAGCATAGCTGGCTGAGGAATTCTGGGAGCTGAAGTCCACAAGTCTTAAAGTTGTCAAGACTGCAGAACCCTGACCTAGGCCAACACTTTCACCATTACACCAAACTGGCTCTTCTTCATTCTTATTCTTCACTGTGAAACATGCTCTCCTCTCCAGTGTGAATTATGTACCAAATTTGTGTTTCGTAATAAGTTTAGGGATGTGTAGTGAGTATTGCAACAGTGGCACTGTGCTAGGCAAGTTTCCATCAGAGCAAACAGTGTTTAAATTCTGCCCTTGAGGGAAAGTTATTGAACAGATAAATATGCAGAAGACTATAAGCGAAATACTAATCGCTATCATAAAGGCAGACAAGAAAAGCACATTCAGGCTTATAATAAGAATAGGCCTAATGTCTTACGGTTCACAGAGACAGCTTGTTTTCTGAGTACTTATACAGTGGAAATTCGGCCCAGTTTTGCAGGGAAATTTGGCCACATTCACATTCTACACAGTTCAAGGCAAGACAGCGTTTTTTACATTCCTTGTCACTTCCTCACCAGGAGGCTTACAATATGAAAGGAACCCATCATACTGAAAGAAAGAGGAAAGGAAAAAAGAATGCAGACCCTGAAAATATGCTAATCAATTTGGCTCCACCACCTTCACTCCAAGCAGTTACATGGATGCTTCAACTGGATTATCAAACTAACTGTTGTAGGCCAGGAGAGTGATGAAGCCTATTGGATTCCTGCTCCCAAATGCTTCTGACTTTAGCTAGACTTGGAATATCCTTCAATATACTGCCAGGTTACAGGATTGCAAGTAACCTATTGACTGAAAAATCTCCTGATAAATATATGTAGGAAGGCATGAATCCTGGTAATGACTGAGTTGCTACCAATCTTGTAGATTAATCACTATGCTGAAACTTATGCGGCTTCCAAAACTGCCTTACCTAATGGATTTTATATCCAACAAAAAGGTTTAAAAAAAAATCTAGAAAAAGAAGCAGTTACACAGATTTGCACATCATCATACAGGTACACCAACTATAGAAGAGTGATTCTTGCAAGCGTGTAGATTTTTTTTTCTTTGGATCATCACTATAATTTGGACTCCAATTAATACTTTTGCAGTTTACTAGAATACTCCAAACCTCAAATGTTGCTCTAGAAATTTCTAGAACTATAGATGAATAACCCAATTTTAGCAATTTAAACATTTTGTTTCAAGATGTTCTGCAACTGGCAACTGCCTTTACGATCAGTGATAAGTATACCTCCACTACTGCATACTGGCAGGCTAGATTGTGTTGAGAATGCAAGGATATTTCAGGGATCTCCTCAGCATTGATTTAGAGAAAACCCATAAGTACGTTTTTTAAGCTATAAGGTTTCAAACTTCCCATCTTTATCCATAATTCAACTAAAGGCAACTTTGAAAATGTCTATTTTTAAAAACTGAGGCTTCTCAAGCGAAAAAAAATCTACATGTACCCATTCCATTAGGTCCAATAGAAAAGACTTATTGTGGGTCCTATTCATGAAAGACTTTCATCTGAGGGGACCCAGGGCAAGAATCTATTCTGCCCTGGCAACCACCCTCTGGAACATCATTCCTGAGGTCAGAGTAGCCCACATCTTCTTGGCCTTCTGGAAGGACCTGAAGAGGTGGCTTTGCCATCCTGCCTGGGGATCTGTAGTGGTGCTGTGGAGCCTGCAAAATATTAGAACAATTGATTGTGCTCTCTTGTAGATTATGTTTGTTTGGTTTTAATAGTTTTAATTTTTTTTGTCCTTGTTATGATTCTGGTTATTTTTTGGTATTATTTTAGTGCTTTTAATTTTGTAAGCCACCAAGAGTCATATATGGGAGATGGATGGTTATATTAAACAAATGAACGAACGGGATGCTTAGGTTGCAGTAGCAGAACTATAGGTAGAGAAGCTGATCTATGCATATGTGCATTTGTCTGCACGCATACCAATGGGAGCTTTCACTTGAAATGAAAAAAAGAAACTTATACTAAAACAGAGTCATGTTGGCTGGGGAGAAGCTAGATAAATTAAATAGCCCAAGTATTTTATTTAACCAACCTCTCACAGACAGGTTTAGTCATTATAGGTTAATATAGTTGTCTCCTGGCACCTATCATTCTATTTACCCAGTACTGTAGCACCTCTGATGAACCTAAACCTGATGAACCTAAACCAATTGTGAGGGCAGCTATAAATTAACAATTTTAAGACTTATTCAGATGTTCAAATAGATCTGTGGAAATTCTAAACAACATCCCATCTTAATTTCTCACTACCATTAAATATATACCCCCCCCCCCCGAGTGTGAACCTCTATCAGAAGGAGTCAATGCAGTGACATGAGATAACTCTATGCAATGAAAAGGTGTAGCTGGAATAAATTATGTAATTGGAATAGGCAACTCTCAGGTTGTGAAATGAATGCTGATTCAAATGCCATTACCCTATTTGCTGTTCGTTAAGCTAAATTCCTGCAACAAAAAAGCCAATATTTTGGCAGCATATTTTGATTTAAAAATTAAAATAGAATGGGAATGGAAGGTCTTTAACTACTAAATCTGAAGAAGGCCTGAATTTCTCATTTTTTAGGATGATTTTATACTTTGTGGTGAGGCTTTAAGGAGGAGGAAGGAAGCAGGAAGCCAGAAGCAAATAATTATTTCTTCAAGCCCTAAAAGCAACCTCAGTTTAGCCAGAAAATGGCAAGGCTGGGGCATTTTTCAAGGATTGGGGGATGAGTGGGTTTAAAGGTAGAAGTAGGAGCAGAGGTCCCAGAAGTTCCTACTACTATTCTCACCCTTAAAACTCAGGAAAATATTGGCCTCCATTTTTTCCACATTACTAGAAAGGTTTCTGCAACCCTTTTGAAAGTTGGAATACTGGAGAAAGGAGTAAATGCTGCTACATCCAGATTCAGCCATAGTTTCATTCCATACAGCATTAACCTTGTGAACTCTCAAGCTTCCTCCTTCCGTTATATATTCAAGATGGACAGTATTTAATATTTATTTGCTATGTATATGTAGGGGTGTGGGTCTATACATATGTTGTTCATAGTATGTTTAGGTATGTGTCATGTATGTGTTTCACTTGAGAGCGGGCAACTAAATTTCATTTTTGATATGTGCTGTTGTGCCCACAGTAAAAAAATGACAATAAAGGCTATCTTATCTTATCTTATCTTATCTTATCTTTACTCCAGGGAAGAGTGGTGGACATCCCCTGTTAAAGTCAGAAGATACTGGTATTACTCTTCCAAGCCAGCTAAAGCCCAGTCCAAGTCACCTGGGAGAAAATGGATGCAATAAGCAATTTATACAGAAATCTTGAATTAAATGAAAAATTGCCACATTTTCAACTCCATTTTCTCTCCAACACAAATATTCAAGTCTTAGGCTTTAATTAGATGTTAAGGATCCTAAAATAAAGATTATGCAATCTGTGCACATTTATCAACTATGATATACCAGATATACCAGCTACGCACCAAGGAAATACTAGTAGAGGTAATAATATTGTAATCCCTTCCAACCCTTTACTGAGTTCTAATGATAGCCTCTGGAAGGTGCTGTTGGGCAGCACAACCTCTGTAGCCTTTCTTCTAAAAGATACCCTTTGCGTCTCTAAACTCGTAGTTCAATACCAGGAATAGGTGAGTTCATCAGTGGGTAAGAGAAGAGCCCAGGGTTTTCTCCAATCTGTTCAAAATAGCAAGAATTTACCCTAAATTACAGTCGTCTCTGAACTGAAATCTCTCTGGTTATCATTCTGTTAGTAAGAATGGCCAAAGTGGTTTGGAAGAAAAAAGATAATATGAATTTGGGGAATACTGAATACATCTTGAATCAAAAATTAACATTACCGTATGTTACAGATCTAAGAACATACCTACAGTATATAAGGAGCACAGAATGCCAGAATCACAACTTTTAATTTTCTAACAAAGTGCAGTTGTGTGAATTCTTTACATACAATGCAAAAAATTAAGTGTCTTAGTTATCATTTTCATTAAAAATGGCTGGAAAATAAATCCTGCAAATAATGAGAAAAAATTGACAGAATAATTGTACAACTCTAGTTCACATGAGTTATTTCATTTGATGGACAGGAGTAAAGAATGACTATAAATATATTTCCCTCCCAAATAAATATTTCTTTTTTAAAAAAGTAAGAACTGATAAAATAGACAAATTATTATTTTAATTCTGAATTTCCAATGAAGTACTTTATTGGAATACATAAATTGTGAACTGACTTAAACATCTGCAATCACTGTGGAATTCACAGAGGTTATTTTTGATAGAAAGAACAGTGACAAGCCTGATGGGAGCACTCGATTACCCTACCAGTATGTAGAGAATCTATGGCTACCAGACCAGAAAAAAGTTAAGGACTCTAGGGCAAGAGCTCAGTCAGTCTTCTGGGTACAGGAAGAACTGGCTTCTTTTGATGCACAACAATGGTAGAAGTAAAACCAAACAATGTTTTCCCTTATTGCTCCTTTGGGGTGGGGGAATCACTGATACATCTTAATATCTTCATTCCCAAGGTTTTAAAACATGGCACAGTGGAACAGTAAGAATAAACTCATAGAGATAATCTCTCAACTAAGAAACTCCAGACAGCGAGAGCTTTAGGTTGGGCACCAAGACCATCCTGAGGTGGAGTTCTGTCAAGACCATTAGAATAGTAGGAGGCCTTGTGCAGAATAAAGACAGAGCCCGTAGCTGTTAATTTCAGCACCAACTAAAACGGACCTAACAACATACATGAACTGCAGATTCAAAGCATCCAAGTACAAATTTACATAAGATAAGTGTCCAACCAGACAGTTCCATATTATCAAGACCTTGGTTCCTGTTCCCCTTTCTTGCTTCAGGCTTCAGCAGTCTTCAGAGAACCATTAAGTATAAACTCTCTAAGCCTCTTCTGCTCTATTCTTGCTCACTCAGTAAACAATTCTTATCTCTACACAACAGTTGTCACAAAGAAATTAAAAAAGAGAAATAACCCCATGCCCCTTCTTTCCCACTCCCAATGCAGTCTATATTGTTAATTCTCTATGCTCAAGAGTATGGGGTAAGTCTAGGCCTTCCCTTGATCTTCTCTGTAAAAACAAAACAAAACAAAAACAAAAGCACACAGTAGAGTTAGACTGTTCCACATCCAGGAGCTATTCTGCAGGAAGTGATACGGTAATATCAGGACTAGTTATGAAGCAAGTACATAACTTCAGGAGATGGTTGAAAACTCTTTTAGCAGGGCTTCCTGGCTAAGAGTGTTGAATGCCAGATTTCGCCGTACATTGATGCTGATGGACCGAACCTGTAGGAGACAGAACAATAATTATAACATCCCTTTCGTCATACATTTGGCCCAGCATTAAGGGGGCCTTGAATAGGCCAGTGTTCAGTGCAGTAGACTGTTGTGCAAGGAAGTCCATATTTGTTAGATGCAGTTTGCATTACTACTAGATGCAAAAAATGAGCTTTTGTGATTATACTGTAGCGTTAGCTGCATAAAAATATCTACATCAAAAAAGAAGCATACCCCAGGGTCAAGGCTTAGTCTACAAGCCCAGACATGACAAGAAGGCATTCCTATCCTGAGCAATGATAAATTTATCAAATCTTTCCTATATTTTATTTAACAACAGATATGTATTTTCATTCATTTCACCAGGTACTTTCCACACAGTGATATTAATTTTTTCTTCAATCAATTAGTTCCACATGCCGGCCCCCGAATAAAGACATAGATATGTACCTATAAAGCTATCCAAGGGCAAGCATATTATGGTTTCATTAACAAGGAAAATTCTTATTTGAACAAGCAGTGTATACCAATCAAACACCAGTTTGAATATCCAATAAGCCACTTCATTTGTTAACTCTAAACCATGTCTATCAGTGGTTCATTCATTCAAGAAGTTAATAGACCCTTCAAGAGAAAATAGAAAAGCAAATGAGAGAATTCAACTAGAACATAAGTTTTTTTAAGTGGTCAAATTCTTAAAGTTTTGTAAGTTACAGGGTTTGACCTACTTTAAAAAGTTAGTTTTGTACAAATGTTTGTATCACTCTTAGTCACCTCTCAATTTTCATGATTGCACGACTTTTACAAGCTGTGGGTCAGACTCTTAGTATATGATTATTTCCTGAATTTACTTCCATGTGATTCTGCTCATTTCCCCAAAACTCTGCTTCATTATGCTTAGATGAGGGAATAGAAGGGGAACTCATCAAATTTGCAGATGACACTAAACTGGCAGGAATAGCCAACACCCCAGAAGACAAGCTCAGGATCCAAACAAAATCTTGACAAACTTGAACAATGGGCTCTATCCAACAAAATGAATTTTAATGTGGAGAAAAGCCAAGTTTTACATTTAGACAGGAAAAATCAAAGGTACAAGTACAAACTAGGCAGGACCTGGCTCAAAAACAGTAACTGTGAGAGGGATCTTGGAGTCATAGTGGATAATCACTTGACTATGAGCCAGCAGTGTGCAGCAGCAGCCAAAAAAGCTAATACAATCCTGGGTTGTATAAACAGAGGCATAGAATCAAGATCACGTGAAGTATTAGTACCGCTTCATAAAACCCTAGTAAGACCACACCTGGAACACTGCAACCAATTTTGGTCACCATACTACAAAAAAGATGTTGAGACCTTGGAAAGGAGCGTTGGCTTACCTGAATGCCTTTTCTCAGCATGATGATGAAGAATCCACCAATGGGTTATTTCAGGCCTCCTGCCCAATTTGTCAAGTTGTCATGCCTCCTCATTATCTGGGTCTTCCAGTTTCATAGAGGGATTAGCCAATGACAACAGGTCAACGTGATGACTCTCAAGCAGGTATTAAAAGAAAGTTAACCAACAAGTACCCCACCCGGACCTGACTGACATGTAATAGGGGAGGGCGTGGATTCTTCATCATCATGCTGAGAAAAGGCGTTCAGGTAAGCCAACGCTCCTTCTCCAGCATGATGACTGAAGAATCCACCAATGGGACATACCAAAGCCTCCGGAGTCCCTAAGGGGGGGGGAGTCAGTTGGGGCCGGACCCCCAGATGGCGTGACCACTTATTGCAAAATACGCCTACCAAAAGCGGCCTCAGCCAACGCAAATTTATCTAACCGATAATGTTTAATGAACGGAGATGGCGAAGACCACGTCGCCGCCCTGCAGATGTCCTCAATGGACGCCTGGGTAGCCCATGCCGCAGTTGTAGCGGTACTGCGGGTAGAATGTGCCGTCACATGAGGAGGAACTGGTAAGGCAAGAAAAAGGTAAGCGCATGAGATACAGGCCCTGATCCACCTGCCTATGGTGGAAACTGATGTCTTTTGACCCACTGTAGAAGGCTAGAATGACACAAACAGAGCTTCTGATTTACGGAAGGGTGCCGTGTGCTTGATATAACAACATAACGCTCTCCTTACATCCAAGGTGTGCCAATGACGTTCCAATTCATGTGACGGGTGAGGGCAGAAATTTGGAAGAATGACCTCCTGTGCTCTATGGAAAACTGTATTAACCTTAGGAATGAATGAAGGGTCTAGCCTGAGAACCACCCTGTCCTCATGAAATGTGCAGAGGTCCTTCCTCACCGACAAGGCGGCCAATTCAGAGATGCGCCTGGCTGAGGTAATAGCAATCAGGAAGGAAACCTTGAGTGACAAGTGTCGCAATGAGCACGTTTTGAGTGGTTCTGAGGTCAGTGCCTGAAGGACTCGAGGTAAGTCCCAAGAGGGATACCTATGAATTACGGGCGGTCTACTATTCGTGACCCCTTTAAGGAAGGCCCGGATGGTGGGATGCCGTGATAAGGACTCTGAGGAATTCCAAGAGAGTACTGAAGAAAGTGCTGCTGTCTACATAAAGTGTTGGGTGCCAGGCCTTTGTTGACACCCTCCATTAAATACTCTAGGACCCTGGGAATAGTCACCTGTGCTAGACTTACGTGTTTCTTGTCGCACCATCGACAGAAATTCTTCCACGTATGGTCATAGATGCGGTTTGTAGTCGGTCTCCTGGCCGCCTGGATCATGTCAATCACCTCCGCCAAATAAGATTCCCTGGTTAGGGTGCGGCACTCAAGTGCCAGGTGGCCAATTGCAGCCATTGGGGGTCTGGATGTTGAAGATCCCCTTGTGTTAGCCAAATCTGGCTGTCAGGAATCTGCCATGGGGCTGAGGATGAGAGACTCACCAGGTCCGCGAACCAAGGTCTCCTGGGCCAGCGAGGAGCGATGAAGATCAGTTCCACCTGTTCCTTCAGGATCTTCCTGATCACTGCTGCAATCAGAGGCAGTGGGAGAAATGCATACAACAGGCCCTGAGGCCATTTGCAGTGCAGTGCATCCGTCCCCTCTGCTCCCCCAGAGGGGACCCGAGAGAAAAACTTGGATAGCTGAGCGTTCTCCAGGGAGGCAAACAGGTCCACGATCGGACGACCAAACCTGTCTGATATCTGCCTGAAATTCTCTGGATGTAACATCCACTCCGAATGATCCAATATCGACCTGCTGAGGAAGTCCGCCTGCCGATTTGCCTCTCCCAAGATGTGCTCGGCCCTGATGGAGAGCAGGTGTTTCTCTGCCCAGGAGCTCAAAGCTCAAGCCTCTGTCATGAGGGACTTGGACCAGGTGCCCCCTTGCCTGTTCATGTGTGCTTTTGCAGCCACATTGTCTGTTCTGACCAGCACATGCTTTCCCCTGACTACTGTGTGGAACTTTAGGAGAGCGAGATGTTTTGCTCTGAGCTCTAACCAGTTTATGCTGTATTTGAGATCTGTTTGTGACCACTGCCCTTGAGCTATCTGTGATTCGAGATGAGCCCCCCAACCAAAGAGACTTGCGTCCATGGTCACCTGAACCCGAGTGGGCTCCTTGAACAGGGTCCCCTTGTGAATGGCCGATGAAGTCCACCAGCCGAGTGATAAACATACCTGACGAGAACCCAGACCAGCCTGTTGGATGTGCTGGTGTGTTGTCTCTGGTACAGGAGTAGGAACCACTGCAGGTCCCGGGCATGTAAGCAGGCCCACGGCACTATAGCTATGCAAGATACTAGTTTGCCTAGGAGTTGAGAAAGTGTGGCCAATGACACAGACCTGTGTCTGCTCATCTTGCGTGCCAGGTCCCTGATGCTCCTGCGCCTCTCCTCTGACAAGTACACGTGGCACGAGTCCATGTCTATCACTGCTCCCAGATGAAGCATGCGGATAGAGGGAGTCATCTGGCTCTTGCTGAAATTTATCAGGAAGCCGTGGTTCTGCAGGGTCCTTATGATGAGGGCCAAATCCGACTGGGCCGCTGAGACTGACAGGGACTGGATCAGAATGTCATCCAGATAACACTGGACTCTTACGGGAACCAGCCTTAAGTGAGCTGCCAACACTGCCAGGATTTTGGTAAAGACCCTGGGGGCCGAGGAGAGGCCAAACGGAGGGGCCCTGTATTGATAATGGCGATTGAGGTAACAGAATCGCAGGTATCTGCGATGATCCGGAAGTATAGGAATGTGTAGGTACGTTTCCTTGAGATCTATTGAGGTCAACAGATTTCCCCGCTTGATACTGGTTAAGATGGAATGTAACGTTTGCATTTTGAATTTCTTGTATTGAAGATGGAGGTTCAGTCCCTTGAGATCAAGGATTGCCCTCCATCCCCCAGAAGACTTTGGGACTACAAACAGGATGGAATAGTACTCCGCCTGGTTTGGGAGAACTTCCTCTATCGCCTTGATGGTGAGTAGGTGTTGGATGGCGTCTTCCATGAATCCCCTTTTTACATGGTTTCTCATGGCTGGGCAAGACATGAATCAGTCTAATGGTGTGGACTTGAACGCCAGGGACAATCCCTCTCTGATAGTGCGTAGGACCCAGGAGTCTGTGGTCATGTTTTCCCATTGGCGTATGAAGAGAGCTAGTCTGCCGCCAATGGGAGGGCCTCCCTCTGAGTCACTTTCCTCGCCAGAAGGGTCGACCCCCTCTGCCACGAAAGGAGTGTTTGGTTTGTGGTTGGTACCTGATTCTGTCCCTATAACCTGTCCTGTCAAAGGAGCGCTTAGCTCTGGGAGCTGGTGGTCGGTAAGGTTGCGCAGGCTCTGTCGCAGCCCCACTCCGAAAGGACTGCCGGCGACTGTATGGAACAAACCGTCTGGTAGTTCTCTTCGCTACATGCAAAATCACTTTTTGTTTCTGTTTGTTCTCAACAAGATATGGTGTTAAAGCCTCCCCAAATAATTTGCCGCCCGTGAAGGGGGCCATGGCCGCATGCCACTTATGTTTACTTTCGGCCCTCCAATTTTTCAGCCAC